CTACCAAATGTCTTCGAGGTGCAGGCTTTTCAAGACCATCGAGAAGGCACGAAAATATTGCCACCCTCTGATCTATGTCAGCTTCGTACACATGAAAATTAACTGGTACGGTCACAGGGGAAGATCTGCCTTGAGAATGCAGACTGCTGATGTGTAGAAAAGTCTCAGCTGTAGACGTTTCTTTGGACTACACTCTGAACCCTGGTGACGTTTAAAGGGGCGTGAGTGGTGCGTGTTCGACCTGAAGTGGTCTTTTCTTTGTCTAGGAATCTTAAGTTATGATTCTCTATTGCTTCAAACTGACGGAACATCTCTACCCGTGACATCAAAGAAGGCCTTGGGGGCACTTCAGCTTTCTTTCCGTACCTTGTGCGGAACTAACGAAATGGCCATGATGATGACTTGGGGAGAGGTAATGTTTAAAACAAAAATATTGCCAGAAACGTCTAAAACACAACGGTACCGTACCAGAAAGGCTATAATTTATCACCCTAATAATACAAAAGAAACGATATAATGAACTGCAGAAAGATCTGTAATTTGTTATTTATTGACTTCAAATTCTCTTGAAAAAGTTAGACATGATGAGCTATTTAAATTTTTGAAAGAGCTAGACATAGACGGTTAAGATCCAAGAATCATTAGGAACTTGCACAAGAACCAAAATTCTACAGTGAGAATTGATGGAGAGTACAGCGAATGCATTAAGCTGATAAAAGAAGTGTTTGTGTTAGACAATGATGCTTTATGTCACCAGACCTTTTTAACATGTACAGTGTGAGTGATACAATTTTACTACTACTACTACTACTACTACTACTACTACTACTACTACTACTACTACTACTACTACTACTACTACTACTACTACTACTACTACTACTACTACTACTACTACTACTACTACTACTACTGCTGTTACTACTACTACTACTACTACTACTACTACTACTACTACTACTACTACTACTACTACTACCACTACTACTACTACTACCACTACTACTACCACTACCACTACTACTACCACTACCACTACTACTACTACTACTACTACTACTACTACTACTACTACTACTACACACACACACACACACACACACACACACACACACACACAACACACACACACACACACACACACACACACACACAAAGCTCTAAAGGTCAATACCACTACGACATGCATAAATTCAAAAATAATCTTATTGAAATACAAAAGAAAATCCAGGCCCCAAAGTGAACGGAGAAAATATCAGTAACATCAGATATGTCAAAGATTCATTTATGCTATGAAAAAATAATCATTTACAATTTAGATGCTATAAATAGCCCAAACATAAAGACGGTACTATACTTTTATAGCGGGGTAAAACATTTGTGGTGCAACCCATCCTCCAATGTCTATTTTAACGGGCGAATCACTGTCACCCATACTTTGCACTGCTGTGTGTATTCATTTGTCTTGACTTCACAATCGTATTTTTCCACAACATATCGACGCTAGATTTTAAAATCTTCTCTCCACAAAAGTTATATAAAATGCTATAAATCTCCGTCACGCAGAAAATGGGATTGTTTACAGCATTTTCCGCTTCCCACATACATTTTGCCTACGGATATGGCCTACGTTACAACCCACCTATGACACTTTTTAGTAGCAAAACTTGTTAGAAGAAACTGATTTTATGGTGAACACGTCTTTTGTATTAAAGGTTTTCGAAACTTGCGTTCAATAAGCATAATGCCCCGATTAGAAAAACAATGACGCTTTTGCTTTTTAAAAGTGATATTACCCCAGCTGTAAACCTTTTAAAATCTGTAGAAACCACATAATTACATTTTAAAAAATTAGTATTCATTGTGGAATTTTCTAAAATACAGTTAGTAGGTGTTTACAAAAATGTTGATCTGTAAAGAAAAGTCATTGTGCAAAAATCGGAGAACGTCTGTTCGATAGTTGAGGCGATATAATTTGAAAATAAGTTGCGCCATGAATTTTTAACCACACTATATATAGTACTAATACATTGTATATATGTGAGACAGCGTGGTGGAATCAGGCTCTCGTCAATTTTTGGGCAGGTAGAGTTTTTGGTATCATCTTAAAGCTAGTTCAGTTGTCTTTATTTTGGTGAAAAACATATCCATTTATCTTGAATACAAGTCGAGATATTTGCGAAAGAAAGAGGTGGAGGCACAGAATTCTACACTTATAGAACGGGCACTGTACCACGTGACCTGTGAGGGATTGAAGACCGAAAACAATGGCGTCTTGAGGGCAAGAAATGGCTGCCAAAGATTATTTATTTCTTTAGCCTAAGAGTCCGTGGTAACTGACAATTTACATTTTTGTGCCTTTAATCAACGTTTTTCAGAAAATTTTCCTCAGAGATCAGTTCTTAGGCATGAAAGGTGTTGAGCCAAAACACAAAAATTTGAAAAACAATTCATAAACCTGCAGAAAAACGCAAGTTTCTTCACTTTGAGTATTTTGACGAGATCCTGATTCCACCACGCTGTCTCACATATGCATTAATTGAAACACCAGACAACTGATGACTGGTCTTCACTGAAAGTTGTTCATGTAATGTGGCGTTCATAATGATAATCATAATCTCATAACAATAATGATGACATCAATACACAGTAAGAAAAATATTAAAACAACAGCAGGGATAATAATGTTCATCATTATGATGATGATAATGGTAACATTTGTACATTGTCTAACACGTGAAAATCAAGCCTTGGATGCTTTAAACAAGGATTTGGCAGTACGTGTCACGTCGCAGTGGAACCAGGCGCTCGTCAGTTTTAGGGCATTTGGATTTATTGGTATAATCTTAAAGCCGGTTTCATTTTTGCCTGGCTTTTTACGGAACAGACATCCATTTTTCTTGAAAAGAAGCCGATATACAATGTACTTGCGATTGAAGGAGTAGGGGGTCACCTGGTATCAGAGGTAAAAATTAGCGAGAAAATGGCCGCCAGGTAACTTCCAAAGCTTGAGTGCCCTTGGAAACTGCAAATTTACGCTAGAAGCGCTTTCGATCAACACTTTTCAGGAAAATCAATGGACTTAAGTTTTTAAAAGGACACAAAAGGTATCGTTCAGGAAAAAAAATTAAAAAAATTGTCCAACTGTCGATTTCTTCCATTATATTATATTGACAAGCGCCTGATTTCAGCACGATGCCACACATAAACCTTTTAAACCATAAAACGTGTTCAGTTTGAGTTAAAAAAAAAGTAATTACCGGAGTAGCGAAGTCTGCCGTGAGAATGTTTACTTGTCCAGGTTTCAACTTCATTTCACCTTCCATTTTGTTATATTATTCACTTTACGAATTCACACATACATTATTTCTGGGTCGATTTCGATTATTAAAAAAATTCAAAGAAACTACTGTTACGAGGGCTGTCCCACGGAAAACCGGAATTTGGCTGTAATTTGAAAACTATTCAATATTGTCACATTCTGTAAACGCACACTTGTAAAACAATCATTTAGAAATTTCCCGATTGAGCACCATGAGCATCACACAAACCAAACGAGCACAGCAGTTCTCAAAAGATGGCTACCCCCTTGGAAAATTGGTCAAGGGTAGAAGTGAGGTCTGTCATTCGGTTTCTGACCGCAAAAGGTCTCAAACCTCTAGAAATACACACTGAAATAAAGTCAGTTTATGGGGAGAAAGTAATGGCAAAGTCACAGGTATATGAGTGATGTAGTAAGTTCAAAGCCGGGCACTCCCATATCAATGACAAAGTTTACCCAGGATCTTGTTTTTCTGCCAAGACTGAGGACAACAAGAGTCGCGTTAACGAACTTATTCAAACAGACAGGCGCCTAAAAATTCGCGAAATTTGCGAGTCGCTAAACATTTCAAAGTCGACTGTCTATAGGATAGAGTTTGATGAGCTGCACTATTGAAAGGTCTCTGCTTGATGGGTTGGGGCCGAAAAAGACCAGCGGGGTCATTTTGCAGCATGGCAACACAACGCCACACATCGCAAACGTCACTAAAGACTGGTTCCAAAGGTTCGGCCAGGAAGTTCTACTACACCCCCCTCACAGTCCTGACTTGGCCCTGTCAGATTATCACCTTTTTGAACCAATGAAACGCCATATTTCTGGACAGCGATTCACCGACGACGAAGACCTCGTGGAAGCTGTGAACGATTGGTTGAAATCCCTTGACGAAAGATTCTTCAGGGAGGGTATCTTCTCCCAGATCCAGCGATGGGAAAAATGTGTCCAGCGGGATGGTGATTACATTGAGAAATAAAGCACATGTTGAGGTATGATGTGTTACAGTTTTATTATAATAGGACAAAGATTTTTGCTTTTACGGACCTCTTCCGGTTTTCCGTGGGACAGCCTTCGTATGTTACAGACTCGTTTTCAGTCGTATCTAATTATTGGACTATCTGCCTAGACCATATAGGAACGAATAGTATAATATATACAATAGCGTCGGTCGTCGGGCGCGCGTTCGGGAACCGAGGCGACTTCAGTTTTTTATTCATTAAAAATTTTTTTTTTAAAGGTGTGATGGATTGCGTAAAAGTGTCCAGAAAATCCCCGCCCTCACCACTTTTACAATTTTGTAAAGTCCTTAACTAATATGTACTACGTCATACACCTTGTAGAACTATCTTTGACCTTACAGTTTTGGAAAAGGTCTACTTACTGACCCACATTTGTGCCAAGTCTAGAATCATCTTTTTGAATAGATTTTATTGACAAAGTTTGTTTATCCAAGAGGGAAATTTTGTGAAACAGAAATCGATCTTGTGTTAGCCGGCGTATCGGGCAAAATCAGGCGTTAGTACTTCGCCAGTAAACTTTTTGTTGTTGTTGCAAAAGTATTACAGCGCTTGCAACTGCATATTGAGACCATATGACCGGGTGTGACGCAAGTTGGTTTTTTTTTCGCCAGTTCCATGCTGGTTTGTGTGTGTTTGGGGGGGGGGGGGGGAGGGGGGAGGGGGGGGGTAACTCAGAAGTAGGCGCTATGTCAGACAGGTGTAACTCAGAAATAGGCGTTATGTCAGGCAGGTGTAACTCAGAAGTAGGCCCTATGTCGGGCGTAGCTCAGAAGTAGGCGTCGTGTCTGTTGTAACGCTGTAGTTATCTTTCACGTGCTTCTCCACCAGTCTGAGGAAGTATGCATGGGGACCCCACAGTGGCAGATCGGTGGAGAGAGTTTGCCACGTCACAAATCGAGCTTTGGGCCCGGCCTGGGGACACACAGACGAAAACAAAATGGTAAACACACACATGAAATGACTTTTTCACACTAGCTGGTTGACCTTCACCTATCCCGTAGACTGGATGTCCGTCGGGGCGCTTTTAAGGATTGGCCACCAGCTTCCTCCACTCCTTCCACTCTTCAGCTTTCCTGGGCGTGTATTTGAGGTCCAGGCTGTCCATTCCTTGATTTTGTCCTCCCAACTCTTCTTCGGTCTGCCCCTGCTCCTTTTTCTCTGGACGCTGCCTTGCAGGATCATCTTGGCAAGGCCGGATGAACGGGTGATGTGTCCATACCAATGCAGTTTGCGTTTCCTGACCAGAGTGAGAAGGTCAGCATATGGTCCTATTGCATTTTTGATCCTCTGTTTGACTTCATCATTTGTGATGTGATCTTTGTATGAGATACCACGGATTTTTCGTTAGCATCTCATCTCCACAGCTTAGATCCGTTTTACAAGGTCAGCATTCAAGGTCCAGGATTCACATGCATACAGAAATACTGACATGACCAGGGAATACATCAGTCTGATCCTTGATCTGATGTTGATATTTTTGTTGTTCCAGATGGTTTTCTACTTAGTCATTGCTGCTGAAGTTTGCACTATTCTGGAGATTATTTCTGGTTTTGATCCTTCGTCTGTCACTACTGCACCCAGGTATTTGAAGCTGCGTACGGTCTCAAGCGTCTGCTTGTTGACTTGGATGTCTCACTGTGATGTTCTTGTTGCTGTTATGACATCAGTTTGATCTTCTCAGCGCTGATTTCCATGCTGTAGGCTGTGGAGGTCTTTTCAAGACGGTCTACTAAGCTGACTTACTGACTAGCTCTTGCTCTTGTCCTGCAAGGCCGTCTATGTCGTCTGCAAAACGTAAGTTAGTAATCGTTCTTCCCCCTATACGGACTGCTCCTTCGTGATCTTCAAGTGCATCTGTCATGATCCTCTACAAGAAAATGTTGAAAAAAGTGGATGAGAGCAGACAACCCTGGTGTACTCCCATTGTTAATGGGAACCATCCCCCAATGTTGTTGAAAAAGACTGGGCTCGTAGCTTTGTTGTATAGCCTTTCTATAAATTAGATCAGGTTGGCGTTGATGTTGTATAGTTCATGGTTGCCTACAAAGCTTCCTGTCATACTCTGTCAAAAGCTTTTTTGAAGTTCACAAATACGTGGTGAAGCTCCTGTTGGCGTTGGAGGTACTTTTTCATGACGATTCCCAGGTTGAATATTTGTTCATTTGTGCTGAACCCTGTCCTGCCACCTGCCTGTTCTTTTGCTATGATTTTTTCTGCTTGTGGCTTCAGTCTGAAGAGAATGACTTTACGTATTACTTAACTAGGATGGCTAATCAGGCTAATAGTACGATAGTTTGGCATTGTTGAAGATTGTCTTTCTTGGGAAGGGTGATGATCAAGGATTGAGTCCATGGTATTGGCCATTCGCCTGTCTGCCAGATCTTGTTGCAGATTATCCATATCATGTCTATCACAGAGTCTCACCTGCTTGAACTAATTCTGCTGAGATGTTGTCTTTTCCAGCTGATTTCCCTATCTTCAGTGATAAGACTGCTGCCACGATCTCTTCTCTTAAGATATTGCTTTTGTCATTATCTTGAGATTGGGGGACATTGAACACTCTTGTATCTCCTGTGGTTTTGTGGGTGTACAGTTCATAGCAATATTCTGTCCACGGGTTCTGAACTTCTTGTTCCTCAGTTAGACATTTCCTTTCTGTACTTTGTATTGATGTGGCCCGCCCTTGTTTTGGTACTTGTGAGATCTTTGATGATTTGGTAAGCCTTTTTACTGTTGTTTTGATTCAAGCTGTCTTCTATTTTTTATTTCTTCACACTATTCTTCAATCCACTTCTCCTTAGCTCCTCTCATTCCCCTTTTCACTTATAGATTCGTCTCTCTGTATTCATTTGCACCTTCCGGTTCCTTTTTCTTGTTCTTCATAGCTCTTCGTTTGTCACATAGGTCAAGGATGTCATCTGTGACCTTGGGCTTCTTTTTCACGCGATGTTTCCCAAGGAGCTCGTTTGTTGTTTCTGTCATGGCGGTGTTGAAAGTGTTTGTCAGGGAGTCAACTTCTGTATCCTCTTGATTTTAGCGCTAGGAGTGTACCAAACTGTCCTCCTATGTTTGCTTGAAAACAATTTAATATGGTTGGGTCTTTGAGTCTTTCAAGGGTGAACTTGATCCGGGTGTTGCCTTATTTCCTGCACTTTTTAAGACGCAGTGAGAATGCCATCATGTTTGTGATCATTGAGGATGTCTACTCCTAGAAACTTCTGGTCTTGGCAATGTTGACATTGTTTTGAAAGCGACGCTTGACTATGAGGTAGTCTATAGGGTGTAAATCTCCCCTTGGACTGGACCACGTTCATCTCCATGATGCTTTATGTGGGCCGAAAGTATTCATCAGCTTTAGGTCGTTATAGCTGGCTATTTCCAGGAGCCGTAGACCTTTGTCACTGGTGTTGGTATTGCAGTAGGGTCCGCAGATTCCTTCCCAGTCTTTCGCTACATCTTTCCCTATCCTAACATTCTAGTCGCCTTGTACCACAATGATATCCTTCTTTGGTGTTTCGTCCAGTACTTCTTGGAGTTGGACGTAGAAATCCCCCACTTCTTCATTGTCATGTGCTGTTGTTGGTGCATATGCTTGGATGACAGTGATGTTGAATGGCGATGCTTTCAAGCGTATGGCCATAAGTCGGCAGTAAACTAGTCGGCAACCCAAGACGGCATTCACAGTGTCTTTTAGAATGAGTATTCCAACACCATATTCATGTCGGTCTTCTGTGCCACTGTTGTATAGTTTATGCCCTTCTGGGGTTCAAGTTTTTCCAAAGTTCTTCCATCGTAACTAACTCAGTCCCAGGATGTTCCAACGGTATCTTTTCATTTCGTGCTCTAGTTCCTCAACCTTCCGTGCTTCTCTCAAGGTTCTCAAAATCCACGTGCCAATGACGATGTTTTCTCTGGCACGTACACTTTTTGTTGGTCTTTCAGTAGCATAGTTTCCTCTCTCGTCCTGGTGAACATCAACGTAAGAGGCGGCCCTTGTTCCGGGCGACGACCGAGCCGGTGCGGGATTCTTTCTAGTTGTTATCTTCATTGGAGTTTCTTGGGCAACGTCGCGTAGCGGAGCCAACCCCTCTTCGTGCCATACCACAGCCGAAATCCTCCCATTCGGTGGCTCACCTTGGTCTCGAACACGAAGACGTTACGTTAATCTGGGAACTTTTTCTGTCCAGGCCGATCCACCGCATCTTGTGGTTACGCCCAGTGTAGGTAGTCCTTCGTTTCCGAAGATGACCATGAAATCCTGCAGCTCATCTGTGGACGTGCATGTGGCTGTGTAATCCAATCTTGGGTGTACAATGTTTGTTGCAGTGGGGACACTGGAATGTCGTGGTTGGGGGTGGTTGGATTATGTCTCCTCTCTCTTCTGGTAGTCAGCTTCTCTCTGTGGATGATATTGCTGTTTCTGCTGGCAAGACGGACAACCCTGTGCCAGGGGTTCCTTTCGGTGGCAGTTCTTTCGAGTTCTTTGGGGCAACCTGTGCAAACTGAAGGTTTGCCTTTATTGTGTCTTTCAACCGCTTTTTTGGCCTCCACCGATTTCTTTTGCCACTTGCGAGTTCGCCGTACAACATTCGGAGGTCTTCCATGTGGATGACATGGCCGACCCATCCATCTCAGTTGGGCTTTGGCAAGCATGCTTTCTATGCTTTGTGAGCTTGATCGGTTGAAGACCTCCATGTTGGTGATGCGGTCTTGCCACCGGATGCCAAGTATGCTTCTGGGAGCTCTTTGGCGGAACTGCTCTAAGTTGTTGGTGTGCTTCCTGTAGAATGTCCAGGTCTCCCAACCGTAGAGGAGGGAGGAGAGCACAACAGCATTGAACACGAAGCCGTTAGGTTCATCTGGGAACTTTTTCCGTCCTGGCCGGTCACCGCATCTTGTGGTTACACCCAGTGATGCTGTGTTAACAACACCCCCTCACACGGTTTGGCACGTCTGCTGAGGTGAGGTCCCGGGGTATGGCGCTTGGAGCCACGTGTGACAGATTTAGGGGTCTAGGGGAGAACCAGTGTGCCCGTCCATACTACAAGCACGAAGCAGCAGCCAAGGAACAAAGGTACTATCTCTCCCAAGAACCCCCTATAATCATTAGTTGTAGCTGCACTCGTTTCCCCTACCC